CCTGGCAATGAGTTGTTGACTGCATTATGTCAAGAAGTACTTCATTTTGTAAGTTTTAAACCTAAAACTTACCTATTAATTTCATTGGGGGATCCCCAGTTCTTATGTTACATGAAGGGGTAAATAACAGTTTCCTATTCATTTTCTCTTCATTCATTTTCTAGACCTCTATCATATCCTCTCTTAGTCATTTATTTTCTAAGATGAACAGTCCAGTCTTTTAACTTCTCCTCAGATGGAAGTTCTTCTAAACCCCTAATAATTTTTGTTGCCCTTCTCTGTACCTTTTCTAATTCTAATATATCTTATTTGAGATGGGGCAACCAGAACTGAACACATTATATGAGGTGTGGCCATACCATGGATTTACACAGTGGCATTGTGATATTTTCTGTCTTATTAGCTATCCCCTGCCTAATGGTTCCTAACATTCGGTTAGCTTTTTTGACAGCTGCTGCACATTGAGCAAATGTTTTTGGAGAATTGTCCATGATGTCTACAAGATCTTTCTTAAGTGGTAGCAGTTAAATTGGACCCCATCATCTTTTATGTATAGTTGGGATTGTTTTCCAATGTGCATTACTTTGCATTTATCAACATTGAATTTCATCTGCCATTTTATTGCCCAGTCACCCAGTTTTGTAGCTTTTGCAGTCAGCTCTGGACTTAACTATGTTCAATAAATTGAGTCATCTGCAATCTTTGCCACCTCATTGTTCACCCTCTTTTTCATATAATTTATGAATATGTGAACAGCACAAGTCTCTGTACAGATCCTTGGGGGACCCTGCTATTTATCTCTCCCTGCTGTGAAATCTGACCATTTATTCCTACCCTTTGTTTCCTATCACTCTTCTCCCATGTCTTTGCTTAAGAGCCTTTGGTGTGGGACCTTGTCAAAGGCTTTCTGAAAGTCCAGGTACGCTATATCAACTGGATCACCCTTGTCCACACGCTTGCTGAAACTCTCAAAGAATTGTAATAGATCGGTGAGGCCCAATTTCCATTTACAAAAGCCGTGTTGAGTGTTCCCTAACATATCATGTTTATCTGTGTGCCTGATAATTCAC